GTCCAGTCTGGGTCACACTGTAACCCTACAGTCCAGAGATCACTGGTCCAGTGTGGGCCGGGTCACACTGTAACCCTACAGTCCAGAGATCGCCGGTCCAGTCTGGGTCACACTGTAACCCTACAGTCCAGAGATCACTGGTCCAGTGTGGGCCGGGTCACACTGTAACCCTACAGTCCAGAGATCACTGGTCCGGTCTGTGAGACCCCCAGTCCTCCCCCAGATCCTCTCACCTGTATGCTCCTCTTGGCGATGGAGCGGGTCAGCTGGACCCGGCCGGTGCTGGGGTCCACCCCGGCCAGCGGCACCAGCACCTCGCCGATGACGTCGTCGCGGGAGAAGCGGTCGAAGCTGAGCACCAGGAAGTGCAGCACCAGCTCGGGCAGGGCGCTGTAGGGCACGCCGTAGAAGGTGAAGGTCTCGTCGAACACGGGCTCGCGCGTCTTGCGCAGGACGCGCGTCTTGACGCGGTGCTTCTTCTCCGGCAGGATGGTCATCTTCACGTAGGGGTCGGCGCTGCCCGGCTGCTCGCCCACGCCGGGCAGCCCGCGCGCCTCCTGGATGGTGACCACCAGGGCCTTCTTGGGGAAGTTGTAGTCCACGGCCAGGCTGAGCTCGCCCAAGCCGGGCTCCTCGGCCGGGGTGAAGGGCGACGGCGTCTTGCTGTCGGCGTTGCTGTTGCTCTCGCTGCTGCTGGCCGAGCTGGTGTCCAGGCAGCAGTAGTCGGCCCGGATGGGCAGCTCCCTCTCGATCCGGGCCGGCACCGGCTGCTGCTGCTGCTGCAGGGGGCTCTGGTCCTGCTGGGGCGCGGGCCTGCTCTCGGCTGCGTCCAGCAGCAGGACGTCGGCCCGGCCCGCGCGCCGGGCCACGCGCACGATCTTCTTGCTGTTGCTCAGGGTCTCGGGGTAGATGCTGATGCCCTTCAGCATGTGGATGAACTTGTACGGCGGGTCGCCGTTCTTCTGGGCTCCGGTCAGCCGGCGGTACCGGCGCTGGCAGCAGGTCCACAGGAACACGGCCACCGACACCGACACCACCAGGACCCCGGCTCCAATGAACCCGGCCAGTACTGGAGACACGTCTGGGGCAGAGAGAGGGGGGAGAGGGGTGAAGGGATTAAGAAAGAGGATGGGAGAGAGAGAGAGAAGATTCATTCAGCAGCTCAAAATCAACACACTGAAAGTCTCCGCTAGCGCAGCTGTGATCGGGTTCGAGACAGTGGAGCACGGTGCTGTTGTGTACAGAGCTTAGCCACAGGCATTGGGCTGCAGTGGCGCCACCTCGGGGTGAGGGTAGTGTTTGTCTGTGATTACAGAGCGACTGAGCCTGATGTGTGACTCAGTCTACTGCCTCAGCTGCCTCTTCACTGTCCTGCCTCGCCCTCCTCGTCTCTCGCCTGCCTCGCCCTCCTCACCCCTCTCTGGCCTCATCCTCCTCTCCTGCCTCACCCTCCTCACCCATCTCTGGTCTCATCCTCCTCTCCTGCCTCACCCATCTCCTGCCTCACCCTCCTCACCCCTCTCCTGCCTCACCCTCCTCTCCTGCCTCAC